TTCTAAACGCATGAAAAATTTTAGGGCATTACAAAGCGATCGGAGGTGAGCGTGAAGTGCCCAAGCTGGATAAAACGGCCAGCGACGCGCTAAGAATTGCCATGCTTTGTGTCGCTGTCACAAAAAAACCCCAGCTAGTTAGACAGTGCCTCGTGACACTCGAAGCTGATTGGCCCACACGCACACCACACTTCACACTCATTGGCCAGAAGTTTGCAATCACTTTTCGAGTTAATCACCTCCAAAACGACGATGCGGGCATGTCAAAGACGAATGGGAATCCGAAAATATTCCCAGGGTTTGGTTTAAAGCGAGTAAAGTCTCGCTGACTTCAGCCAATTCGCGTTTTGTTTTCCGATCAAGTGTATCTGATTATGGCAATTCTTTGCGTGTTGCCAAGACCAAATAAATCAACTCCAAAGGAACCTGCTGAGTCCATGGAACATCGCGTGTCCACCCGGAGCCCCCTTGAGACAACCAACTTACTGTAATCGACAAAGCGTGCATGAGGGCGCGACCAGTCCCACCCATTGCATTTAAAATAAACCCAACCAATAGAAAGCTTCAGCCAATGGGATCCATGCGTAAGTGTTAATATCGCGCAGAGCAGTGTAGCATGCGTCACGCCCTAGGAACAAGCAAAAACCTGTTGACGCCGCGTTAGTGGCCGCGCCACACACGTGCGTGTGTGCGTGCGTGCGTGTGTGCGTGCTCGTCAATAAGGCGGGGTGTGCGTTTGGTATCCCGGGGGTGACGTGTTCCGGTTCAAGTTCTAATACTTTTCAATTAAGACTTTTTAATCAACGGTCTACCCTGTAATTTAGTTACACCGGCAGGTTTGGTGAACGTCGTGTATGTTGCCATAGCAAACGATTATCAATAATGTCCCGACTCGATGAAGGGAACATCACCTCGCCTTGTTAACTTTTAACCGAAGATTATTGGTTCCCAAACGAGGCGAAGTTAGGATTGAGGGGGTGACGCTCATACCTGGGAATTGGCGTCAGTGGGTACCATAATGTCTAGCAATTAACTTTAGATTAGGTGCTGTGACGGACTCTGTGCTTGTACACGAAAACCACCACGAGCCGAACATGTCTTACCTGACGTACTGTGTGTAGGAGTCTGATGTGGACGACGAAGTGAACACTTGGCGACATTGTGCTCCCTCTGGTTTAATACAACCAGTTAGATGTTCTTCCACGGGCTAGGTTGACACAAAATCGTTAAACTGACAAATTGAATCAATGTCGAGCAGTCAACCAATAGGATTTACGGTTCATCAATGCGTGGCCAATGAGAAGCCAACTTGAGCGGGTATTTTTGCATTTTCAGCCTGGGAATCTATCACAAACATGGCGATTTTTTCTGGATTTGCCGTAATAAATGATTAAGTGTGTGTGGTCATTTTTTCAAACCCACTAGACAAAGAAATGACGTAGAAGCCGATAGACAGGGTGTCACGTGAGTGTCCAGGGTACTGTTGTGGTGGTGGTGGTGGTTGTCGCATTGTCCGCCACACGGACCCCATTTTCACGCTGGCGCTATCGATCTTGCGAAAAGCGTCTGCTCATGCACCCCTGCGTGCGTACCCCCTCCCCCACACTACTGGTCTCACTCAGGCCGCCGTACATTCCCAGGCCAACCCAGACCGTACTGAAAAAAAAACCGATTTTTTCTGCACCGTGGCGCGACAGCCACAATTCGGTTGTCCCTCTGGCCGAATTCCGATGAAAACTCGATTTGTGGTGCCGACTTGGTCGTTGCATCGTGCTGTTCACGTCCATAATCTGGCTGTCGCAGTCTGCGACACGCTGCCCCCTCCCCCCTCCCCAGTTCAGCCAATGGCGAACAGTCTGCTTTCTGCTATCTATAGCACGCCTTTACCATTCTGTTATGTTTACGTTAATTGGTTGTAGGTATTTCATTCGAGCTTGAAATTATATTTAAAAAAGACGCACTTTCCAGGTTTTTTGAGGTTTAGAAGGCATCGGACGCAAGGTTTCAGAACACGGAACGACAAGTCCACGTGTTTTTACGTAGCCTCTTAGAGTGGGAGAGTTGACGATGGCAAATGATAAACAGCACATTCAGTGGCACTGCATTTCATGTGAATTACAATAACAGGGAAAAATTGTGCTTTTAAAGCACGGAGGGCTATCAATTAGCAGTGTCTTTGGTTCTGAAGTTGTGTTTTATGAAACGTGCTATCATTGGTGCAATGATTTTGGAAGTGGCGGTTTCGATATTAGTGACCCATCGCTCCCCGGACAGCCTCGAGAGTTTGAAGGTGCGGAACTGCAGTCTCTGTTGGCTGAAGACGCAACGCAAACGCAACAAGAGCTTGCTGCTTAGTTAGGAGTCATCCAAACAGCTATTTTCACAATGTTGGGACCGCCACATGCATTGATCAAACACAACCTATGTCAACGTATGACAACATGCCTTTTACTGCTTGCCCGTCGGCAGCAAGCAGAGAACGGACTATTTTGTGGACAGTTTTGGCGGGTGACGAAAAGTATATATATTTTTTAAGAGAATGACACGTTGGGAATCGTGTTTATTCACTCCCCTTAATCCGGTCACTTCAACCTTCGATACAGGGTTCCCCTTTTTGCAGCATGTCGCCAGCCGCGCGGATCCTCAATTCACCCTCACACCTAGGTCTCGATGTTAGCACATCTATGACTCACGCATCTGAGGTATAAATACACACGACACAACAACACCAACGTGATTGAGCTCTGAAGTAAACGGTTGTGTCCACATCTTCGCCGATCTTTTTCTTCATCGTGGGTATCAGGGAAGCGTAATCGGGCCAGGGTTAATTCCGTGGTTCAAGACCACATGCTGGGGCCCACAACAGACAAATGTAGAAGGTCGTGAGTGGCTCCTGGCCAACCAAGTACATCGACGCCGAAACAGGACATCCGTCCACCTAAAGAAGGTCCTCCTGTGTGTCTGGTGGGGGCACATGAAGGATGCACTTGACTACGATCTCCAGGAAATAGTTGGTCGCGAGACAGTGACTGTGCAACGCCACAACCGACAATCGAACAAACTGAGAAAAGAACTTGATGGGAAGGGGCCAGACAAGCCATACTGCTGCCGCTGCTGCTTGGTCATACAAAACGATGGACAACATTTTCCAGATTAGGTTCATTTTTCTTTCCTTTTTTTAGTCAAAATAAATTTACTGAAAAGGCATGCCATTTAGGGTGTGTTTGAACTTTCACAGGTAACAAAAATTGCACATTCTTTCTAATTGTTTTATCGGTGTCTTTGCTGGTGATTACCCGTTATTGTTAGCATTATGAAACTGTTTTACAAGCACCAGCATCTCATGTGCTTTCCCTAAAACATGATTGGCCATTTCTCTAGATTTGACCTTGAATTAAGCCCAATAGGATAATCGTGTGCGTTTTTGTATAAAAAAACGAATATTTCCAAAACTGAAATACACTTATTGGATCATTAATGGGAGATCAGATTGGCAGAAAATGGCAATTTGATAATTGGTGCCGGGTTTATCAAATGGTTGATCGTTAAAACTGATCAGGGATCAAACTTGACACCCTCATACAAGTTGCGAAGACGTGAAGGGTGAATAATTTATATTTTTCCGTCCCTTAAGCATAAGCATCGGTAGATCACATCCAAATATCTGGATAGATTACTCACACACATTAAACAATACTACTTACTGTATTATTAGTAGGTGTAACTAAGGTGCCTTGATTTCGGTTCCAGCGTAAGTTTTCTAGAAATCATCAGAGTTTTGGGTTGACGCCAACATCCGCGGTAAAGTGTGTACTATTTTGAATAAAGTAGCACGTCAGTCGTTGTTACGGTCAACTGAACAAGTCGGTGCCAAAATCCGGAAAATGGCATTCATGTTAATTTTATCTTCTAACGAAACCAAATTAATAAGCCGGTAAAGAAAAAAACTCGTCAAGGCTTTTTTGGTCAGTGAATTTTTGTTAACCTATTAACACCGGAGACTGTTCAAAGTCTTAACAAGATTTCACCAAGATGTCCCTTTTGAGTGAAATATCGCTATTGGCTCATTTCATGTATTCCACAAGGACACCCAGAGCTGTCCACATCTCCTTCCCGACCAATGGGATGTAAGCTGGCGGGAGTAGAAAGTTGTAGGCTCCTTCGTCTGGCAACTCGACTGTGTAGATGTAAGGAATGTTTAAATGCCCGCACGCAAAGTCGTCCGATGCGCCCGAAGCTGCGTCTACAAAAAAAGCACACCACCAAGGCTTCTGATTGGCTGCAATTTGGTCAATGGATAAATCAAATCACGCGCGTATTCTCCCTTCCTCCTGATTGGTCAGACAGTCAGAAGTGGCTGCACTTGCTCGGAATGCGGTGAGCTGACGTCAATAAAACGACCTATTTGCATCAAAACCTCCAGTAAAACAAACCCTTCAAATTCAGGAGTGCAGAACTTACACAAGAGATCGGCGGAGCTTCCAGTTGTGTAGACATCGCCGCACTTTTTCCACACCTTGTAGATAATCTTCAAGGCCAACCGCATCTACAAATGATAGACGGTGACTTCATATTTTGAGCCTCCAAGAAATTTAAGTAGGTATCACGCGTGGAAGTAGATTTTCATCAGCATAATCATTGTGTGATTCGTTAGATCTTATTTGAACTAGAATGAAGTCAAAAATCTCACTTTTGGTTGCTCTGATAAGAGAAGCACTTCCCCAGTGACCTTGAATGCTTGGTTTGCTTCAGAAAAATCGATTTTTTTTTATCAAAAGAGGCAACTTCGAACAGTGCTGGACGTCTTACCAACTCATCGTAGTTGGCTGGATGCAAGCCGCGTTGAAAACCGTAGGGCGTCAGAATGTACTGGCCGTAGGAGTGGAGCGTGAGGTAGAGCTTTGTTTGATTGGCTATCGAACTGAGCTTGGTGATGATGCTTCGCGTCTCCGCCTGGTCACCGCCACGCAGTCCCTTGAAGGTGTCGCTGCACGGATTCGATGAGGATCCGCTGTATCCTAAAAAAAAAACACAGATGATCACCCATTGGCCAAATTGTAGCCAATCAGGAGTCTGGACGGCGTGATTTTTAGCGTTATTTGAAGATACAATGCAATGCGATTCCCTTCATGTTAAATTGGATAAAGTAAGCATCCTTGGCTAATTACTAACTGGTCTCCTCTAAGTCCATCAAACTGCGACAAAAAACTGGTAGAAATACCGATATTTACGATCATCTGTGGTTTGGATTTACTTCATTTAAACAAGGTTTTTAGGCAATCTAGTTTTATAAGCCACTAGACCAAGAAGCAAAAAATGCATCCATGTAGAAAGGGAAGAACCGTTTACGATGGTTTCTGCGATTGTGTCCTTGAATTTCCGTGGTGACGCTGTGATTGTACAATTCGCAGTGTTTCCGCATTTTGATTGGAGGAAATTAGTCGATTTTTCCAACGAACGCAATGTGCTTACCCCATCGAAACGGGAAGTTTCGGTTGAGATCGATGCCGTAGCATTCACTGTGTCCCGTCTGATTTCGATTCTTCCGCCAATAACGGCTCTACAAAGCAGACACCTTTTCATTGGGTAAAAGCAGTGCCAAGCAAGGTCATCCCATCGAACAAATCAGAGAGGCTTTTTACGCACAAAAGAAATGAGAGCTAGGCTATTCGGCAATCTGTCATAGTAGCCTATCTGCTCATTCGTTGTGAATTGAACTCACCCTGGAGAAGCTGTAGACGTAACCATCGGGGTTGATTTGAGGAGCGATGTAGAATTGGTACTTTCGTAGCATCGACGCTCCGTCACGTGAGAGTAGCTAAAAAGAAATAAAGCGGGTCATTGTGTAGTTACCGCGATTTTTAAAGCGGTTATTAATTTTGAAGCCCACAGCTTCCACTCTATCGATTCTTCATCACTGCCTCAAGTACATTTATCAATTAGCTGACAATGATTGCAATCTGCGTCACTAAGCGGCCGAAATTGTGTGTCACAGACATCTGACGAAAAGCACTACTTACTCTGTCAATTAAGTAGAATGCCGTAGCCGGAGCAATCCATTCTCTAGCGTGGATGCCCGCATCTATCCAGATTATCGGAAGAGACTTATTCATTGAAATCTATTTAACAGAGTAAAAGCACTTTTGTGAGCGGAAACCGCGGAAATATTTGACACCACATAATCGTCTAGCAGTTACCTTCAAAAGCCAAATGGATCTGTTTTCTACGGTCTTACCGAGTTCTTCCAGACTGACGAATTGGTAGTCCTGGGCAATTTCATGAAGAACAGCCTCCATCTTCAAAAGATCAAACATTGTCAGATGATTCAACGTAAGTTTGCACAGTTGGGGGGGGTTCGTTGTGTCGTATTTAAGACCATATACTCCTTAATTCGATATTTTAACATATTTTTAATGTCGCAGATTCAGGAGTATTTTTTTAAGCTGAAGAATGATTAGATCTACAAGTCTGTTGTGAATCGAATTTATTCAAACCCCTTAATCCGGTGGCTCCATCCTCCGACGCAGGGTTCTCCTTTTCGCACCATGCCGCCATAAAATGACGTTTTTGTCCAATTTTGAAATTTTTTTTGTCCCTGACTACGCCCTTTTAGAGCATCACATAAGTATATTGACTAAAAATGTGTGTAGTATGAAATTTGAAGGAGACGAAAGGAGCGCTTTCACGTACGACATTGAAGGGAAGGTAGACGTGATGAGTCAGACGTTTTCCAACGGACCTCCGCGACCGACTTCGGGATAAAGCCTGCGAATTTTCACGCTTGGCACGTCTGATTGACCTAAATGGCAAAATTCTCTTTCAGGAAAGCATCTTTTTGTCCACAGAAGTCAGAATTTTGGATCGAAAGTTGCAGTTGGAGACAGTGCATTTTATGTGGAGGTGGATCTACATCCAAGGCGACGCCTGGAAGTGTATACAACTGCTTGAAATACCTTTCAACGTCTTCGTCTATCAACTGCGCGTCGACCTTGTGAGTCGTGATGATCCCCTTGAAGTCATCGAGAGCCGTGGACTTCACCATGACATCAGCATAATCACCGCGTGTTCGCGGAGATCTAAGCACGTCGTACACCGAGGTGTCTTCTCCTGAAACCAGGGCCTCCATAACCGAGTCCACCGCGGTTTCCGGTATTTGAAGTCGATAGATCTGACTCCTACATTCAAAAGACGTGGAGTTGCAGCGAAATGAATTGTCGGTGAATACGTGCTTTGTCACGATGTGTTGCCGTGTGTGCTACCTCTTAGCGCTTTCTTTGGTATTACAACAAAAACAATTCGACAAGTGTCGCACATGGCTACCTGCGTGTGCAGACGATGTCCTACTGTACGCAAAAATTGTTTATTCCTGAAACAGTACTAGTCGGCCATGCTGCGTTGACTTCACTCTACCGTCGTCCATGATTCCACTGAAGTGTGTGGCCAGGAACCGCCGCTGTGGCGACCGTTTGGCTCTATGTGGAATAAGTGGAAGCACGCGGAAGTGGTTCAAAAATATGTGAATCACAAGACATCATCATCATCATAATCATTCAAACACCAAACTTACCCTCGGTACTGGTCGTCGTAGCATCCGACGATGCGGAAAAGGAGAAGAATGGCTAACAAACTGGCCCACCTCGGCATAATTGGCCGGACGTTGTGCGGCTTTAATGGGCGTTTGTGACTTCACTGTATCACGATAGCGTGACCTCACGGGACACTCAAATCTGATTGGTTGATTGAGTGTGTGTGTGTGCGCGCGTGAACATGTTTGACAATGCAAATGTGGTGCATTCAGCCACGTGTGATGCATGTGAGGCCGGTAGTACAACCAAAAGGCCAAACCAAACAAGCAAGTTGCACCTGATCAAGTGACCGAACTAAATGTCATGTGTGGAATCGGTTAAACGAGTCTAAAACAAATGCACGAGAATAAGATTTAGCAAGGCTACCATTGCTTGGGGTAATGAGCTAGCGACTACGATACTATTGGGACCAAATGAAGCCGGGGGGGGGGACGCTGTGGGTAATCAGATGGTTAAACACGAATGACACTATCGATATCAGAGAACTTTCGCCAAGTCTGAGTTAATCGATATCATCGTTTAGAGCAATAGTGGTTTTGACCTGAAAAATCGATAAGAAGCTTAAGTTACTGAGTAACAACCATGTGTGCAAATTAATAACGTGCTGTGTTTGGTGTGGTTTTGAACCACGCCGGGTCCACTGAAGTAACCATGGCCCGACTACGCTTCCCTGATACCCGCGATGAAGAAAAAGATCGGAGGGGACGTGGACACAACCGTTTACTTCAGAGCTCAACCACGTTGGTGTCGTTGTGTCGTGTGTATTTATACCTCCGATGTGTGAGTCATACATGCGCTAACATCGAGACCTAGGTGTGAGGGTGAGTTGAGGATCCGCGCGGCTGGCGACATGCTGCGAAGAGGGGAACCCTGAGTCGATTTACAACAAGTGTAATGACGTCACCCTTTTCTTCAGCACAACCAGAGACAATAAGGAGACTGGCTTGAGGCGGTTCGGTGTTAAATTAGCCTCAGCCAATGGGATTGCGTCAGCTCCTCTGCACCCAACAACCTTTGACCTTCACGAAATCGTGAAGGCATATACTACTTATAAAGTACTGAGTCGCTCGGTTCAATTTTGCGGCAAAATTAAGTAGTGTGTTTGGGGGGTGTAGATTTAGTTGTCACGCCCATTAAAGTGTAATTTTATGTGCTAGTGCTTATGTTGGTCGTCAGGTCCTTGCAAGCAATCGATACAACTTAACTAATTAACCCCAACACACGATCTTGCCGTGCAATTAGACTGGATAGCTTGGCTATTTACACGGTCAAAATGTGTGGGGCCGCAGTTGGTCAGGTCTAAATTGCCGACATTTACAGATTCAAACAAAGCACGGCGGCCTTCTTGGTTTGTTTTGTTGTTGCTGATGTCGCAACCACCGGCTTTTGGCAGCTGACTCTACTAGGCGACTTTCGCCACCTCTCAAGGCAGACTCGTGGGTGTGACGTTGCACCGGTGATGCATATAAACACTTACGCGGTGTGCTCAGTGGTACTTACTGCACCCCAAATCGGCAAACACACACACACATACGGCTGCTCCCAGCGGTGATCGTCAGGATGGAAGTCTACAACTGGGTGAGTTCTGTGCGAGTTTGTTCACGAGAATCGTTACTAGAAAATTCATTTAGAACCACTTAAAGTGGCAATTTATAGCCAAGACAGGAACAAGAAAATATTTAGTCACTAAATTGATCAATGCTGAGTCTGGAAAGAGCTTGTCTCAGCTCTGCTTTCGAGATGAATCCAGACAAGCATGCTCGTGTTGGCGATCCATCGATCGATCGATCGACCTCTTAGATGAGCGTTACTCAGACATGAGATAATCGATTTTCTTTACGATGGCTTTGTCTTGTTAATTGGGAGACGCACTTCACCACAAGCGAGATGATTTAACTGTCGTTTCACAAAAATTCTTTTAATGACGTGGCATCACTTGTGAAGAAACACAACCTTTTCAAGGTGTCATCAACGTGCTTGATTTAATTGTGAGGTGATGTGTGTGATTGGCATAGCAACGATTTGAAACCTTGAATTTGTGCGTGCATATACCAATTGCCTGTTGAGTACCTTCGTCATCTTCTCACAGGCACGCGAACTCCTGGAAGATGTTCCAGGCGGAAATCTCAAGTGGCTGATTCTTGCAACTGGCGTTGGATATCTGGCTTATCGAATTCTCTGGTGGGGCTACGTCCAGATCCAACTCCCCCCTGGTCCGATCGGCTGGCCTTGGTTGGGCTACACTCGTTGTCTGGGTACGTTGGTGTCGAGATTCAAACTGTCCCAGTTGCACATGAACTGATGGAATTGCGTCAAACCAATTGTAGGTAGTGACGCCTTCAAGGAAGTACAGCTGCTCCACCGCAAATACGGTCCAGTTGTGAGTTTCAGGCTCTGTGGAAAGCTTGTGATCGTTCTCAATGACGAAGATAGCATTAAAGAGGCGGCCTTGAGACAACGCGCGCTCATCGGACGACACACAATGCTAACCAATCACCTTCTTGCAAAGGGCTTCGGTATGGTCTTAGTTCTTGCAAACACAGATTTTGCATTTTTCCGACAATGAAGTCCCTTGTGCACTGCACAAATTGGACAGAAACGCCACTTGCTTCTCATTGGTTCAGCTCACACACAAAATCATGTGCGCCAATTAGATGTTAATTGAAAGAAATGCAGCCAGAATGTTACTGGTGATTTTTTGTGAATTTCGGGGTGAGCACAGCCTTGTCGAATCCTGATTGGTCAAGGGAAGGTCACTAGTTGCAGAAGCCAATCAGGAGACGGGGTTGAATTAACTTGTCCCTCTTTACCATGGTAGGCATATCCAATTACGATGGTGAGAATGCAACCTTCTTGAGACGAATCTTCATCCGCGGTCTTCACCTTGTCATGCCAGGAAGGACCTGCGATAGACTAGGCCGATCGCCACCAGTCTCCGATGATCCTCTTAACGCGTCCACAGATCGGGCAGATTTACTCACCGAAAAAAAGTTGGCGGCTGAGTGCTCAAAACTAGTCGACTTCCTGCACCGACAAAATGGCGAACCAGTTGAGATTAAGTAAGTATCACTACTCCATTCAAAATCGCGCCACTTTAGCCAACAAGAATCAACTACTTATTTGCAAATAAGTATGTCAACCAGCAGCACAAACTTGTTAGTTCAGACATCTTATCGATTATTGGCATTCAAATTACCCCATGTGCCTATGTATCTAGTTGAGTTAGAATCTAAACATTTAGAAGTGGACTATATGATTGAACTTGCGTCAGTAGAACACATCATTCGCTTGGTTAGTCTCATAATAGGTAGCTGTCGCCGTGGTTCTGATTCCTTATCAATTCCAAGAACGGGTCTATTCTAAGCACCACTGGGTCAAGCAGCGAATCAAAATGGCGCTCTGCTAACCTACTTCAAATTCGTCTTGTTTATCTCTGTTGAGGTCAATCGTTTGTGGCGCTAATCCATGAATTTTCGACATGAACATTGCTTGTTGGCAGAAATGATTTGGTTTTTCCGTTGACAGTTCCGTCTTCAGACACCTCGTGTGGAACGTGGTTTGGGTGGCCGGTTTCGGAACAGACTGTCCCCTTGATGACAACACAATCACGGAACTAATTCACTGTGTGGCTGAAAACAATTCAGTTAATGGACCTTTTCAGTTTAAACAGATGCTTCCAAACATCTGGTAAGTGAGGTCATTTCGGTAACCGGTCACTAATTAAAAAACACCAAGTTGATGAAATGGTGTGAAGTTGTTACGTTTGGCCGTAACAAAGAGAAAGCCACTCAAATAACGGCGCCAGATCCTTCATTGACACTAGAACCTACCCTCCCACGCTTATACAAAAACAAGACCAGAGCTAGTGTAAAGAGCTTTGATCACGTCAACCACGTGCGGAGCCGGCTGTCAAAAGTGAAACTAATTCATGTCAAGGTTGACCATGGCCTGATAAAAGCGCGATAAAACACATGTTAGTGAGTTAGTGTAAACAGTGCCAAAAACCAACGGTGAGCGATCTTGGGGAATCTTGGATCCCCAATAGAAATTTAATTGACCAATCAGAAACTGTCACCATCGCTTGATGACCTTCAAAACACCAATGCGGTTGTTGGCGTTGGAGCAGTTAAACACAAGCCTGAAGTCTTCACACACACACGCACATACGCAGCTACATGACGCAACCCGACGATTATTCTACAAGCTGTGATGTCAAGCGACGTCACGGAAAATGCGTCGTTTAAGTGTAACAAAACAACCTCTTTGGTTTGAACAGCGTAAGTTGGAAGTCGTAGAGACACACCCAGGTATTCTGATTCCGCGTTTTGTAGTACATTAGCGGTAGGTTACGTCGTCAGGACGAAAAAACGTGGATTTGGAGACCCCAGGGAAAAAACGGGACGTGAATTCAAACAAAAACCGAAGAAATGAACATGGTTTTTCTAAAAAAAAACTTTATTTTTATTTGTGTCTCTTCTAGGTACTACGTGCTCTTGCATTCTAGACTGGCACGTAGGATGCTGGGGGTGGACGAGATATGGAACAGGTATGAACGTGTCACGTCGATTCTGAGTCATGCCGTGCAGACAGTTATCGCAAATCCCAATCGATCGAAAGGGTGTCTCATCTCTCAACTCCTCGACGGTGGCGGAGGCAACGTTTCATGTAAGCCATAAAACATTGAATAATGCTTTGCGTTAATCTGAAATAGAGTATACAAAACCAACCAATCGAAAACCAGCTCCGCCTCTTTTGCTGTCGCATAGTGCAAGACGTGAATCGATTGGCTTTCGAGTTGATGGCAGCCGGTGTGGACACGACGACGCTAACGCTTGTCTGGAGCTGCTACGCGATCGCAAGTGGAAAATTGGAGGTGTCAGACGGCGACGCCTTCGGTGAATCCCATCTAGAGGTTGTGCATCGCCTCGCCAGTGTAGTACCCATGGCTCTGCCGCACTACGCCCGCTTCGACAGTCGTATCCATGGCTACTACGTGCCGAAAGGCAGTGCCGTCTTCTTTAACGTCTTTGCCGTTCATCAAGCCCAGCTGCAGGCTTTGGCTGCGAAACGCGGATGTCCACACGCGCAAAATGGAATTTCGAGGCCAAAGACGCTTCTCTGCGAGTCGGCGATACCTTTTTCGTTGGGTAAGGTGTAAACAGGATCGATTTTAGCAATGGAATTTTGTGCACTCTTTTAATTTACATCAATTAATGATGTTTAAAGCAAGGTGATTGGTCGTCGCCGTGAACCAATCAGGACACAGTCCTGTTCTCAAAGTGGTGATTGGTTGTGACCGCACGATCATTGAAGGTGATTGAAGTCACTAATTTCTTTGCATTTTTTTTCAATAAAAAGTTGCGAAATTACGTTACAACTGACAATTGTGATCGCAGACACGTTCTTAACATGTTTAGAATGCGTACTTTCTGCTTTCCCCAACAGGTCCTCGTGCGTGTCCGGGATTCATGTTTGCAACGCGCGTTATCACCAGGGTGATGAGCCACATTGTCGAGCAATTTCGAATTGAGGAATGCAGCGATGCCTCGGATACGGCAAACTGTCAGACTGGTGGCCTCACCCGACCCCCAGTTGCCCAATGTTATCGATTTATTGCGCGAAAAGACATAAACCTCCGGGCCCAGCAGTAATTAATCGGAATGCTGTACAAATAAACTCCTTTGAATGTACTTTGTGTTTTATTAGTGTCTTTTGACAACTTTCCCACCTCCACTTTGCTCAGACTTCGTTCTGCTTCATTACTACTTAATTGTATCAGTAGATTAATTAATTAAAAATTTTTCAAACGTGAATTAGCAGGAAAGAAAATTTAGGGGAAATTGGAAAACGCAAATTGCTGTCGTGTACTTGCAAAACACAAATATGGCATACTCTATTTTATTAGTAGTCATGTTTTTGCAAAAAAACGTTTTTAAACAGATAATGTACTTTTAAAACCGAGTTGAACAATCTGACCACTTTGTTAGTAGCTGGGTTAGAAAGTAAACGGTTACAATGAAGTACTTTGCTGCCAGGTCATGCAAGGTTAGTTACTCAACTAAAACCGGCGAATTTGCGAGTTAGGTGAGAATAAACGAAATCCACGAGGTACAAGAATGTGGACTCACATTCATGAAGTGCTGCTGAAGTTAGAGGCTGTGAAACTCGCAGACTTTTACTTCAAATTAGGCTATCCAATCCCCAGGTCCTATCGATTTTCTCTGTGGGTGCCCCTCAATTCACATTAGTGATTGACGACGGTTTTGTAATCGCACTCAGTCTGATGCGTGAGCCGTGGATCCAACAACGATTCGGTGTTGGATCACCATGGTTACCACCAGCAGGTGCATCTTCACCCAAAGACACCATGCAAATCACGCCAATATCGATCGATATCGAACTCTTCGGTGTTCTATCCGGAGATATATACTAGCCCTTGCACTCCACATGGCCTCAAGCTTCAGTGGAGACTTCTGTTAAAATCACAATGATGGAAGAACTTGTTCTCCTGTCTTATTGATCGTAACGACTGGCAACCCTTCACTACCGGTCAACTCTCTCCGCGAGTCCTGCTGTTCGTGAATGCCATTGGTGCAGGGCGTCTGTGACAAGGTCGTTTCTCTGCCAACAGACGACCATGTCA